AAGGGCGCGTGGCTGCACTGGTCTGGATAAACTTCGTCAACGTGATGGTTTGCCTATTAGTTGTCACAGGTGGTGTTTTAGTCATAACAATTGTCGATCCCAAGGTTGGAAGCTGATTTATTTGATTCAGCACAAATGTTGTAGTAGATGGCGGCTGTTGCTGCTGAATCGGAGGGGTCGGCGTGGTTGGAGTTGCGAGGCCCAAGTCCCCTGCATCAATATCAAAGAGGTCATTTGGACTAATGCCACTCTCACTCAAAGCTGCAAGCAGTAAATCTTGCCCTGGTTCCACCATCGTTTCCGTGGGACCCGGCACCAGCGCGGCTTGGCCCGGACAGCGAGGGCGCGAGGAGGCGGAGGCGGCCGGAGCGGAGGCGGCGGTGGTGGAGGCAGCGACGGCAGCGGGAAAAGGACATCCACAGGCTGTCTGCTTAGGAACAAATTTTCAAAGGCTTTTCATAGCTTCAGGGTGACACTATCCAAATGATGGTGGTGGTGGAGGTGGTTGTTGTGTACCATCAAGTTGGAACCGACCTATAGCTGACTCTTCAGTGGGTTTTCAGAGGCAGTTAATCGCACGGGAAGAGATTGCCCATCCTTCTCCTGTAGAGCAACTGGTGGCCTTGAACCACGTACCTTTGGGATTGCAGTGCAGCTTCTTGCCACTAGGCCACCAGTGCTTATCTAAGAGGTTAGTAAAATTAAGACTAGATGTTTTTATGAAGACTTGTTTAGCCCATATATAACCCATACATGTGCTGTATGTGTAATTGTATCACTTGGAATTTTTTGGTTCCACTTTTCATTGCTATTGTAATTGCCTCATTTTATTAGCTCTGTGTTACACATCCTGATTGAGGATGAATGGTGGGAGCCAATGGATGAGTTGGATTTTCCCAGATTTCCCTTTTGCTGGAGCGTGAGGGCTGGGGAAAAGGCCTGGGAGCTCAGACCTTGGCCCCCACCCATCCTCTAAGCCCACGCCGAACCTTTTACCAGGAGACAGCAGTGGGCACAAAGGAGCCTGGTAAGAGGTTTATGGCTTGGATGATGATGAGATTGGAATGTCCACAGTCCTGACTACTCTTTGGCCAACCTCCTAAAGGAGTACCTAAGAAATGATTTTTGAGAAGGTTCAATTCTGAGTAGGACAGTGTCTTAACAATTCAGGTGAGTAGATAACTGTTGTTGTGAGTCAGAACCAACTCATAGCTGACCCTCCAGTGGGTTTTCAGAGGCATTTCATCACATGAGAAGAAATTGTCCTTGCTTCCTCTGTGGAGCAGCTGTGTTCAAACCATGTGCCTTTGAGATTCTTATCACTAGCTAAATATCTAAGTAGATACTTAGATGCATTAAAATAACTCAGAGGCCACACTTCAAAACAACCCTTTTTGATAGTGTGCCCTGTTGGTTGAATATGTTTCTAGAATGTGAGAGCAGTAACTAATTGCAAGAGAGAGGAAGAGGGCGGGTAGGGCTTGGAAATTCTTTCATGAGGTCCAGTTGAGGAAACCAGGAAGTTTTAGTGAGGAACAGGAGGAAGATACATGAACAGTATGGAACAAACATCAGGCATTGGTCTGAGAGATCAAAGCAGTGACTGAGAGTGGAAGTTATAGGTCAGTTTTGGGTCAATGTCAAGGAAAATTTGATGACAATTAGCTGTCACAGTGGAACAGATCTTCCTTTCACTTGGAGTGTTGAAGCCAAGTCTCCCATCCTGATGGAGGTCAGAGTGGGTGTGCTTTTGCTGTGGAAGGCGACTTTCCAACTAGTAAAGTCTGTTGTCACTGTCCTTTGTCTCCCAGTGTTAGTATTAGAGAGCTGACTTCTGTTATACTGTTTCGGACAGAAGGGAATACATTTTGGGTAGAGGGTGAGCCAGAGAAGAGGCCCTTTTTGGACACTTCCCTCATACCATGGATGTGACGGCACCTTTCTCTTTCCACAGGGCAGTGGTCATGTGTCTCAGGACCAAGAGGAACCTGTCTACCTGGAGAGCACAGCCAGGGCACCTGCAGAAGAGGAGACCCAGGTGGGTCTCTGCTGGGGTCTGTGCTTATGCTTTTCACTTTCCACTTGTGTTGAGAATGTTGGAAGGAGCCTCTTAACTGACTGAGGGGAGAAGAAAGAATCAATCTGTGATAATTATTATTAGGTACTGTTCTGTCAGCTCTGACTCATAGCAACCCTGTGCGAACAGACTGATGCTCTGTTGCACCCTCCTCACAGTTTCTGCTGCATTGACATCCATTGCTCTCATCGCTGTTATCCATTTAATTGAGAGTTTCCCCCTAACGACTGGCCTGTCTTGATAGCTTGTCTAGAGTATGTGAGACAAATGCTCACCACCCTTGCTTAGGAGCACTCTGGCTGCATTTTTCCCCAGAGGAGCTTATTTGTTCTCTTGTCAGTCTTTACCCTCTTTACCTCACCACAGTTCAAAGGTATCAATTCTTTGTCTTCTGTATTACTTTTCTAGCTATCAGCTATATATGAAGCAATTTAAAATACCAAGGTTTGAACCATCTGTACTTTAGTTTTTAAAGAAACCTTCTTTTCTTTAGTGCTTTAAAGCCTTAAATTTGGTCAGTGCCATGACATCGTTTGATTCCTTGATACTGTCTCTATTAGTGTTGAATATGGATCCAGGTGAAATGAAATCCTCGAGGACTTCAATCTTTTCTCCATTTATCATGATGTTGCATATTGGTCTGGTTTTGAGGATTTTTGTTTTCTGTGCATTAAGGTTAAAATTCATATTGAAGGCTATAGTCTAATGGTTGTCCTGATTTCTCTTTCTCTGGTATGGGGGTTAGTGTTAGCCCTTGGAGCTGTCAGTGTGTTAGTGAGGGCTGTGAGGTTGTGGGGAGACCAGGGAGCCCCATGGACCTTAGCATCTTCAGTCTCTTGACTTTGTACTTGTTGTCAGAGGCCAGACACCTGGTGCTGCTATGCCAATCTCATTCTTTCTTCCTGCTTCCACCACAGTGGCCATTGTTAGTAAAATGAGGTCAAAGGAGCTGGAGGAAATGATGGCAGGGCCCAGTCCAGAAGCACAGCTGCCGGGGTCCTGGAGCTGTGCTTGAGACTGTAGACAGAACAGTGTGTGCCAAGGAAATCTGCCTCAGTGGAAAAGTAGAACGCTGGGAAGTGGAGGGGCAGCACATGCTAGGAACTTCAATGTGTTCTCACAGTGAATCTTCATGGGCATAGAAGGGATAACTAGGTTCAGAGGGGCAAGCTATTTGCCTGGAATTATTAGGCAGTATTTAGTGGAAAAATCATGATTCAAAGTTAGGGCCATCCTCTTTGAACTGGTGCTCTTTCTATATTGCGTTATTCATTGGTTTGTGGTATTAGCACCAGAGCATAGGACTGTTAGGTCTAAAACCTGGCTTATTTAGTAATTCAGAGCACCATTCTAGGCTCTCTTCCTGCCTGTTAATACCTTTCTTGAGGTCAGTCACCAAAAGAACTGTGGCAGGTGCTCTGGGACCCTGAGAGAGAGCTTGTGTAGGGAAGAGCTGAACTGGCTGTTCTTGTGTCTGCCTTTTTAGTCTGTCGACTCTGAGGACAGCTTTGTCCCCGGCCGGAGGGCCTCTCTGTCAGACCTGACCAACCTGGAGGACATTGAGGCGCTGACTGTGCGGCAGCTGAAAGAGATCCTGGCTCGCAACTTCGTCAACTACAAGGGCTGCTGTGAGAAGTGGGAGCTGATGGAGAGGGTCACGTGGCTGTACAAGGACCAGAAAGGACTACAGCACCTGGGTAAGGGTTTGTCTGGGTGACCGCTGCAGGGTTCCGGCCTGTCCTTGACCTGACTCAGTTCCCCCCACCTACCCATCTACTAATAGCTGTTGTCTGTGGCTTGATGACCAGGAATGGTCGAGGCACCTTATATGCTTATTTAATCCTCAGAGCAGTGTATGGAATAGGTACTGTTGTTGTTGTTATGTGCCGTCTAATCGCTTGTGACTCATAGCGACCCTATGTACAACAGCCCTAAACTCTGCTCTGTCCTGTGCCAATTGCACTGTCTCCGATACACCCATCTCGATGACCCCAGTCACTGAATCAGTCCACCTCATAGAGGGCCTTCCCCTCCTGTGCTGTCCCTTAACCCTACCAAGCATGATGTCCCTCTCCAAGGACCGGTCTCTCCTCACAACATGTCCAAAGTATGTTAGACGAAGCCTCAGAATCCTTGCCTCCAAGGAGCCGCCCAGTTTGACCCTTTCCAGGATGAATCTGTTTGTTTTCCTAGCAGTCCATGGTACCCTCAATACTTTATTAGATGTCCCTTTATTGTGGAGCCTAGCCTCAAATGGAGATTTTCCTGCTTTCTAAATTCAGAGCCTTTTTCACTTGACTTCAAAAACATAAACTAAAACCGTTGCTGTTCAGAGTTGCTTCCTCCTCTGGTAATGATCCCCCAGTGGATTTCTTCTTCTAGAAGTCAGGAGGCTCTTTCCACCTGAGGAGCACGTGGTAGGTTGGAACGACCACCCTTTCCCTAGTGTGGCGTGCAGCATGACACCATGGCCCTTCCACCTTAATTCACTTCCTCCAGCCTCAGTTATTTGGAGTAGCAGATAGAATGGATTTTAGCACAAATGGCATAAGAGCATTGATCTCATTTGTATATTTGACCTGTCTGAGTATTTTCCCTTTTCATTCTCCAGAGCACTTTGCATTGTGTCATTTTCAGAAGACAGCCAGTAAAATATCTAGGTCTGTGGTCAAATGAGTTTGGGAAGAAATACGTTATACGTTGTCTTCTCTGTTACTGCAGAGAACTCCTGCAGAAGAGAAAGCTGGTTTGAGGTTGGCCATTCCTTAAATGATTTCCCCACAGCCCCCTCATCTTCCCCTTGAATCACCAGGTGGTCCAATGCCTGCTTGAATCTCAGGCTCTCTACCCAGCTCGAGCTCATGAGAGTTAGGGGAAGCCTTGTCCCAGAGGGATATTCCGTCTTCCCTTTTAGGATCATCCCCAGCGTCTCCCAAATGTTGAGAGGAGCTAGGAAATTAAAGAGCCAGCTCCAGCTTTGAACATCCGACTCCTGGCTGAGTGAAAAAACCGATGGCTCCTGCCTTCTTTAATGTTGACTTTAAAAGCAATAGAAAAGGATACTGAGTGTATATAGCAGCCTTTGTCCAAGACTAGACCAGTGGCACCAGCAGCAGGGTCTGTGAGAGTGTTGTGAGCATGTAGAACGAGTAAGGAGGCTGTGTGTCTGTCACAGCGCTTGGCAGACCTGCTTCCCAGCAGGAAGTTGTCAGAAAAGAACTTGGGCTGGCGGGAGACTCTCCTCGTGTTGCCATCCCATCCCATGTTCACACATCTTTTTCTTTTTCCTTTTCAGTGTGCGGTGCTGAAGATCAAAACGGTATGTAGTTGTTTTTGAAAATGGGCTTGGGCTTTGGCTTTTCCGTCCTTTACCTCATTTATTCCTGAAACGTTGTTAACAGTTTAGAATTTTGATTAACCCAGAGAAGGTGTGTAGGTAATTTGGTAGATCTTGGGCTTCTTAGCACCTTTGACATCTACTGGTTTTCGGCCCATGAAGGAAGAACAGGGTCTGTGCTTTGAGCTCTGAAGCTGGCATTTAGAACATCTCTCATGGCAAAGTGAGTGGGAACCCATGCCACACTCAGTTCCACTCATAATCTTGATGCCAGGGCACTAATTTCCCTAGTGTTTACCCAGTTCTGGTCTGGGTGAGGAGATCTCTGTTCACTTTTAGGGAAATCACTCAGAATGTCTCCCAGGTGCTGGTATGCAGCAAAGTGAAAGGCTACAGGTTTTGCAGAGCAGGTACTGGGTCTGGAAAGGTGTCAGGTATGGTGCTTTCTGGGTACAACATGCATAATGCATGTCCCAGCTCACTGCTGCTCACCTGCGTGTGGAAGATCCCTATTGGGTCTGATGTGTCCCACCACCCCTGCCAGCTGGGGAGTATGTACTGTTGCCCTCCACACACTGGCCAGTTAGTTATAGGTGGGCAATCCCTGGATCTACCACAGGACGTCTGCCTAGGTTTGAGTCCTGGCTCCTCTACTTCTCAGCTCTGTGCCACTGGACAAGCTGCTCAATTTGGGCCTTTGTTTGCCTCATTTATATAATGAGAGTGATGGGAGCAACTACTTGATAATTTTTTGTGAAGATTCAATTAGTTAATACATGCAAAGCCTCTTAGGTATCCTGTCTGACACATAGTAAGCATTCAGTAAATGTCAGCTGTTATCATTCCCTTGAGAGAAGTTCATTATCATTCAGAGAGAAGCTATCATGTGATTTGATTTTTGGGGAATTCAAAGATGCATATCTGACCTCAGCACATACAGTAAATGCTAAGCACATAATTATGGAAATGGATTGAATTTGTTGATGGAGAGAGCTAAGAAGACAGGCTTAAATTGTAATCCAGTGTGATAAGCAGTCAGTGAGGGTGGATCCAGGTCTCTGGGGGAACACAGGAGAGGGAACAGTGATCTTTCCTGGGCCCTCCACCCAGGAAGTCTCTTCAAAGGGAGCGAGGGCTAGTTTGTGGACACTAGAGACCCCACTATTCCTTGGCTTTATTAAATTGGTTATATGTTTGCATATATACCTTAAGAACCGTAATGAACCAATCATTACAGTTCTGTTTATATCTGAACTTTTCTATGTAATTTTTACCATTTCAGCATTATTTGCCTTAGGGGATAAGAGTTCCTAAGTGCCTCACTTCTCTGAAAATTAGTTCCTTTAAAGTTGAAGACTTTGCTTTAATTCTTATGCTCTGAGACCTATTTGAGCCACCTTACTCTTCAAATCTATAGTCCCCAGGACGAGGTGTAGAGTAAAAAAACAGTGGATCTAGTTAAGACCTCTGTTGAGTTAGTCAAGTAAGTGTTGAACGTCTAACCAGAGATTGGTAGTTCAAACCTACTAGTTGCTCTGCAGGATAAAAAATGAGACAGTCTGTTTCTATAAAGTTTCAGTGCTTCAGAAACCTGTGGGACAATTGACTTAAGAGCAGGAGGTAGGTGGGGTTGGGTATTGAGACCTTGTTTTCTTGGATGAGCTCTACTTGAGCAAAGGGTATCGTGTTGAGGGCTTATTTGATGTCTACCCTTTCCCACCTCATTACACCCACTGCTTTGTGCACTTGGCCAGTCTCCTTATTCTTGCCCCCACCCCCTTTTTCTCTACCCTGGGTGTCTTTACAGGAGGAGCGGCGCCCCCCAGCCTGGAGGAGAACCTCTGTAAGATCTGCATGGATTCTCCCATTGACTGTGTCTTGTTGGAGTGCGGCCACATGGTAACCTGTACCAAGTGTGGCAAGCGCATGAATGAGTGTCCCATCTGCCGGCAGTACGTGATCCGAGCTGTACATGTCTTCCGATCCTGAGGGCTCGCACCGGCTTCTTCAGTGCCTTACAGGAACACGGCCTTGGGTGTCTGGGCCCGCGGTTGACCAGCTGACAGAGGGGCGTGCTAACAGAAGAAAATTTGCTATGTTCCCAAGACCAGGGCAGACAAAGATACCGTATCACTGCTTGGTATGCCTGTCTTGCCACTGGTTGTACCTCTTGGCTGATAGAGCTGAGGCCAGTGGGACTGGTACAAATTGTCCGGGCATGTACCTCCCTGCTTAATGATCTTGGGGTGATTCTGGTAGTTGATGAACAGAGACTTTCCAGAACATGGGCTAAGTCATCTCCCTTCCTCTTGAGAAATCAGACCTTTTGAGATTCTGCCCTTCTTCCCTCCCGGTCCCCATGCATCCACTTGAGGTGCTGGCCTCTGTGTTCAGCAATCAAGCCCCACTAGAAATGGTTCCCTTCTTTCTCAGCACACTTTTCTTTCTGTGCTTTAATATCTACCTTTGCTAAAGTCTCTTTTACTGTATTGCCTAATCCAATTGTTTCTTTGGACCAAAAAGATGGTAGGTAGTTTATTAGGCCTATCAGTAGTGGTCCTCTGTATGGCAAAATTCAGACCAGTATACTTACCTCTGGTGAGAAATGAAACACAAACGCTATTGACAATTTCCAAACTTGTTAAGAGTTGAGGAGCCCTGATGGTGCAATGGTTACGTGTTCGGCTGAGGTTGGCAGTTTGACAGTACCAACTGCTCCACAGGAGAGATGTGGCAGTCTGCTTCTTTAGGTTCTCAGAGCAGTTCTTTGCTGTTCCCCATGGTTGCTAGGAGTTGGAATTGACTTGACAGCAGTTGATTCCCCCCTCCCCCCATTTAATAGAAATCTCTTTGGTAAGAAACTAAACACAAACGCAACTAAGTTTCCAAGTTGGTAGGAGCTGCTTCCTTAAGTGCTTGGGGCTGGAAACTGATCCCATCTTGGGAGCCAACAAAGCATCTCTCAGCTCTGCTGGGGAATTCCAGCGAGTGAAGGTGGTATGTGGTCATCTCTGCTGCTTCCTCTTAAGGCCCATTTGGCATCATCCCTACTTGTGGTTTAAGAAGGGAAAGCTTTGGGAGAAACTAGTAACTGCTTAACTTGGACTTCTAATTCTACTTTTCCACCAAGTAGGAGACTCAACACTTTGACAATGAAGTCCTTACCTTCCCTGTAGAAACTAAGCTTACTCCCACTGGCTTTATCTAGAAGGTGCAGGGATTCAGCAGAACCTGCTGCCCTCTAGCATAACTTTTCCTAATGCTCCAGGGCATCTAAGGGCATCAGAAGGTACCGAAAGGAAGCAGGGCGCTTTCCTTGAACAGGCATCCACAGCCTTCACTCCCAGTTTGGTGGGGTGGGGGGATGGGACTCCCTACTCTCATTTCCCAGCCTAATGATTTGAGCACAAGTTAGGAAAAAAGCATTCTCTAGGTCCTTCAGGAAAGATCATGAGAGGAGGATCCACTTGGGATCCTGATACCACCAGAGGAGCAGAAGGTTTAAGGAGTCTATTGTAGCAGTTTAGTCAAACATAAAGCACACATGCTATCAGAAATGCTGTGTCCTCCCACTGCCAGAAATAAGCAGACCTTAGCAGGCCTAGCTAGGTGTGCAGCCATGTTCTCGCCTTGAGGAACCCGTCAATAAGTTTAGGAGGCAGTGGGAAACTTCTGATGTCAGTACAAACGTACTCAGAGGCTTTTCTCCATTGTCAACCACTACCCCTTCGGAGAAAGGAAATGTCAGAAAATAATTCACCTGAACACTGGGCCATTTACCTTGACATTGTAACTAACTCCAACGACTGCGTGCTGGGTCACAGCCTTTATAGGAGTTGAAGGAATCGCCCTTCTGGACAATAAATACTATAGTTTACAATGTCTGCCAGTTTAGTAAAGGACAGAATGGTTATTCCTTAAGTTCACTGTGAAATAGGTCTATACATATGCAACTCCGTTAATATTTAGCAATAACTTGAGGGCAGAAGCTGGCTCTCTGCCTGTTCCTAACTTGCTTTGTTAAGGCCTTGCCTCCTTTCCCTTTCTCCCACACTCAAAATTTCTTGCTAGATGTGTACTGAAAGTAGAATCCCAATGGCTGGTTAGTAACCTCAGGAAGAATGATGTACTGATGTCTTATATCATCTAGAACTTGCCTTTAAATGCTTTATCCTCTTTGGGTGAAGGTTTCCATTTAACAACAAAAAGTGTCAAACAACCCTGTTTTTCCATACCTCCTTTATTGTTACATCAAATAAAAACTGGGAGTTCCAAGATCCCATTCCAGTGAATATCTAATCCAGGTAGAACACTTCATTTTTTAATCCCTGAATTCTCCCCTGCCCCTGTGGATCCTTGGTCTTAATATGGAAACATGGAATTCTTACAATTAATCCTTGGCTTTTGCTGTGATTGTTCTGTGATTTCAGGTGAGACCCACTTTTAAAAAAACAAAACTTAAAACAGTTGACCAGTTCACGATACACTGCATAGTCAGATCTAAACTAATTAGAATAAACTGTACAGGCATTTAGTGCTCAATATATATTGTATAAATCTGTTGAAATTTTTTGGATGTGAATGTTACTTCAAGTGGCTTATATTGAGATTTTTCTGACTTACTTGGGTATTAAAACCACCCAATTTTTTTTTTACAGAGCTCTGCTTTATAATTTTGTAATAAAGTTTCAATATAGATCGCTGTTGATCTGGTGTGAGGCTGCCAGAGGTCTGATAGTTAAAATGATCAATAAACCATGGCTAATCATAGACCATATAGGCATTCTTATGAGACATTGTACTGCCCTGTCACCTTGATCAATATCCTTGTTCTACTGACGAGGAGACTGGACCGTGGTAGTGGTGTGATTTGTCCTAGACCTCACAGCTAGTGCGCATGGGAGGACAGTAACAGAGCTGGCTAGGTAGGAAGGAATCCCAAACTCAGGTAAGGAAAAAGCACCAAGTGAGTTGAGGCATTCACACTGATTTGGCAAAGCAGCCCTTAAAGGAATGAGGTCAACTGGTGTTTCCAGTCAGGCCCTTAAGCAACTCATGGAGGCGTGTGGTAGCTCCAGATGTAGCTGTGGTAACGGGGTTGGAGTGTGGCTAGAGAAGCTTGGCCTAGCCAAGGCAAACTGCTGGATATGCACAGGCCAGTATATGGGCAAATTGTCACTAAGTCAGAACGGAGCTGACTCTCCTGTGGGTTTTGGAGGCTATAAATCACACACGAGACTGCTCATAGATGGATTTGAATTGCCTGCCTTTGGGGTGGAGTGTAACTAGGCCATCAGAGTTCCCTATATAGATACAAGGAGGGCTGAAGACTCAAGAATTCAGGCCTTCAGGGAGAACAAGATCATGTATATCTGCCTCGGGCCTGAGGAGAGTAGCAGTAGGCATTTGGCCCAAGACCTTGGTCCTGGGTGCTGTACAGATGGTTGACTTTCATTCCATACCCAATGACATGGCTAGTCACAGAAAGGCTTAAGAGGTATCAGACCTCTAACACTGATAGGGAGGCTGCTACTAGTTATATGAAAACACATGAAAGGATACAAGACTGTATAATGAGCAGCACAGAACAAACTATAGAAAGTAAATGCACAGGACAAGAGCTGGTTTAACAAAGTCTGTAACATACTGAGAAAGGCCAGCTAAGCCTTTCTGCTCAGAGTGCTCCCTGTGTGCACTCCCCTAACCCATGTGAGGGGGCACATATGGTGGCTCTGTCAGCCCAGCTAGCCAGGTCAGGGCAGTGTCCTTTGGATGCCAAGGGGTGAGCCTTGTTCTGCTGCCCTGTGGTTGCTCAGCCTGAAGCTGGAGAAGGGGATGGAAATCTATGTAGGTCATTGCTCAAAGGAGGAGCAGCTTTTGTTTCCACAGAGAATGGAATAAAGAGTGTCTTGATTCTCAATACTGAAGCCAGACTGAATGGTGCCTATTCAAAACCAACAAATGTCCTCGGCTGAAGTCAGGCACTCCTTCCCTCCAATGTATTTTAAACTAGGTGGAGGCCAATCAGGTTAAAGTTGACCTTCAAGCTAAGAAGCAGGCTCCCACTGTGAGCACACTAGCTGGAGGGAGATTGTGGTCTTCAGGCTTCTAGGCCCATATAACAGGTTCCAGAGGGTGAGTCCCACTGACCTTACTCACAGGAGGTGGACAAGGAAACTTGACTGTTTGTTGATAAGGAATAGCTGATGAGACCAAAGTGGTAGAACTAGAAACCTGTCTTTTTACCTAGTTCTAACTGGAGAAATGGAGGCTCAGATTTGAGTAACTTCCTGAGGACACAACTGGTAGCCACATGTGACAAATAATTAAGTTCCTCGGTTGTGCTAGCCACTAACAGCCCAATGTACCCGGTGACTACCATATTAGACAGTGTCTATTGTAGAAAATTCTAATGAACAATGCTCATTTACACCAAACTGCTTTCTATTCATACAAATCGGCATTAGGAGCCCTTCTTTGTGAACAGGCAATGTCCTAAGGTCTGGATTTTGAAAGAGCAATCTTATTTTTAGATTCTGGTCAACTCCTCCTGGAGTCCATTTCACTCGCAGGCAAGTAGCCCAAAGCTCTCCTCCATCCCCACTCCTCCAAACCAGAGACCTATATACACTGTAATAGAAGATGTCACTTTTGGCAAAGGAGGCCAGGGGAATCCAAGTCTTTCCAAATAAAAAGAGACATTTTGAGAGCAGTCTTGTAAATGCAGGGTAAGCTTAGAAGTAAAGTGGGTAAGTGAGAGGGCTTCTAAGGGTTAGCTTTGTGATCAAAACTTCTATAGCTCAGCCTTCACTTTAATCAGCAGGGAAGCATGGGAGGGTGTGTGTGTGTGTGTGTGCGCAGGTGCTGAATGGACAAAGATAACTGAAAAAACTGGAACCTAAGCTTTCAAAAGAGGAAAAAACCAACAAGAGAAATGCATTTCACCCGTGGGACCGACATCAACTAATTCCTGGTCCAGAAGAGATGATGAACAGGTAGTGGGTTTTGGAAGCTGTATTACCTGGGTTAGGCAAGCCTGTCCCACCCACCCTGTTCTGTTCCTCTGGTGCAGTCCTCCAGCCTGGCCCATCCAGTGGGAGGGGAGCAGGGAACCTGCGTAAAAGGGAAGACCATGGTCCTAGCAAGGTGCCACCAGTCTCCGTTTCCGGATGCAGGCCCAAATCCACTCTGGGGAGACCTGCTGAGCCTCGAGGTTCTGTTCCCCGCTGCCCAGAACATGTGTGGCTGAGGCCATGTCAAATTCCTGCACCAGGTCTCCGTCGAATGCCACAAAGTAACGCCTGAGCTGGCTGAAATTTGGCGTGGAGGGCGGCAGGTAAAGCCGCACCCCCGTGAAGATGTCCAACAGCACCTGCAAATGTAGAGGGTTGGGGTGGGTCAAAAGGGCCTGGGTTGGGTGCTGATGTACGACGTCTCCACCTGGAGTAGGACGGGACACAAAGAGGCGGCTGAGGGAGCCCAGTGGATAGCACACCAATGACTATATCTTGAGAGAAGGCCACTGCAGCTTTGCATCCAGCCACTCTCAAGACCACACTGGCACTTCCCTCTATCAGTGCTTGGAGCAAAGGGCGAAGGAGGGTGGGCTTGGCATGCTGGTACTTGACAGCAGTTCTCTGGAGATGGGACGAGCACAATCCTCATGGACCATCCCATGCTTGTGAGCAAGGCCAGTGGTTGACCATTGCTCCCGACTCTGCAGTTCTTAAAAACAGCACAAAAGCACTCTGCAGAACTGGCCTAGACTGACGAGGGAGGGGGTCAGGGCCCTGCTCACGACTCTGGGACAGGCTCTAGGAAGGGAAGCGGGTTGGTGGTTCTGTTGGGAACCTGTTCAGGGCCTGAGCCAGCAGCCCTTGGGCTGACCTCTTGTTTAGAGGTGGAAGAGAATGACATGGCAAGGGGATGACATCCTCCAGGGCTGAGCCAGTACTCATCCTAGTTCCTGGTCTCAGTGTTACCTGCTCCTACCCAATGACACACTCACACTGCTGCACTCCCATGCCCAGACTGCTTTAATGTCAGCTGTGACTGGGGCCAGGAGGTGGGCAAGTCCCTGAAGCCTCTCGACTACGCTGGCTATCTCCTGCCTGCTGGCGCAGCTCTCCTTCCTCGCTGCTTGCTGGCAGGCCGCCTCTGTAAGGCAATGAAAGGGCACAGGGTGGAGGAGCAGCTCAGCCCTGCAATGAGCAGCTGCAGGAGGGGAAGGAGTTTAGGGGAATGGCCCCAAGAATACTTCTGCCCTTTCATAGAACAAACAGAAACTTCTTTCTAGTTCATTGACAGAGGGTCCTGGGACATGAGGCCTGGGCCTGAACTGGCCCTGATGCCCTGCTATTCTTACGCTCACCTTTGCTTGGCATGGGATGTCATCTGGAGCCTTCCGCTTTACGCCTGCTTTGATGGGAGAAGACTTCACGGTCGGTTTCTCGCCCACTTTCCCAGGGGAAGTCTTGGCTGGTTTCTCTCCCATCTTCCCGGGGGAAGCCTTGGTCGGCTTCTCCCCCACTTTAGTGGGGGAAGTCTCTACAGTTGGCTTATTGCCTGTGGGAGAGGGCTCAGGGTGAGAACTGAGTGAGGATAGGGAAGCCCCAGTGGTCCTTGAAGCATGGAGCAAAAGGACCTCTGTCATGAATGTGGATGAGAAAGGATGGAGGAGCCTTTAGCCAAGTGGCTTCCTCGCCAGGCCACAAGCCTTCTTCCCAGGAGGTCCTGCCAGTCGGGTGTCCCGAGCTAGTACAGGGTGCTGGGCCTACAGAAGGAGTCAGGGGCACAGGCAGCGGTGCTCCTCCCCTGGTTCCCAGGGGATGGGCTGGACCATCTACCCCATACCACCTGCTCTGTCCGCCAGCTTCTCTTACTATTTTTGCTGTTTGGGCTGTTCAGCTTCCCTCCTGCCTTCTTGGCGCTGGGAGAGGACTTGCTGGGGGAGGTGTTGGGGGTCTTATGAGACATAGCAGGTCCTGATGTGCCCTCATTCTCCCCATTGCTGCCCCCTTCAGCTCCGGCCACTACGCTGAAGTCTGCCCTCTCCTTGGACAGCTGGTAGAGTTTCTGAGGAAGGAAGAACATAGGGTGTCACCCCCCGGACATGGTCTGTGTGCTATGGTTAGATGCATGTGTCTGAGCAGAGAGAGAACAGGGAAAGGAGTCTGCTTCCTTAATGCTTACTCAAACTGTGGCTCTTATTTAAAAACTGGGGTACAAGCCTCTACCTTAGTTCTTAAAGTAAGGACTGTCACACAGGACCAGCCCCTCACAGGAAAGCTGTAAGGCAAGGGGGTGCTTACTCTAGGACTGAGTCAACCCACTTAATGAGGCTTGCTGGATCCAATATGGTTCTGCCTGTGGAGAATGGTGGGGGGATCCCTTTGTAACTGTTGTTCTCTGTCCCATGCCTCATCTCAGTGGAACATGGAAAAGGGGGAGGACTTATGAGCAGATCAGAAGTCCTAATGGGGTCCAGAGCTGGGATAACAGAGTGTGGGGCACTCAGCCAGAGAAATGCACCTTGAGCTGAGGGAGGTTAGTGGCCGACTCCCAGTCCTTATCATCCCGGATTCGGGTGCAACGAGGGAACCGGATGGAGATGCCGTCAGCAGTGTGAGCCTCCGATTTGGAGAATTCAGCCCCTGTTATCTCCCACACAGCAGCTTTCTGTCAGGAGCAAGTTGGGCAATTAAGACAGTGGTTCAAACATTTCCCCACCAGCAAGAGGCAACAGGACAGTCCACAGCAGACGTGGCTTCTCATCCTCCGGCTGCTGTGTAACCTCAGGGAAGCCCTAACTCCTCTGCTTCTCTGTCAGTTCAAGGATTTGGGCCAGATCATTCCTAGAGCAGACCCTCGGGGACTGGAAGATTAGAACTTTCTTTTTTTAAAAAAAATTATTTATTGTGTGTGTACTGTCATATTGGATATGACAGGTACAGGAGGAGATTGTCCCTCCTTCTCTAGCAGAGCATCTGGTGGATTCAAACCATGCACCTCTGGGATTGCAGTGCAGCTTCTTGCCACTAGAACACCAGAGCTCCCTGGTTTGTAACTTTCTACTGACCATTCCTTAGTGTTGCTGGACCCCTCAGTTCCTACCCATGGGTTAAAACAGCCCTCTCTGGCACCAGAGATGTTCCAAGCAAATTCTGTGGACTAGAGGAATCCAGGTCACAGGTGATACCTTTGGGTCTGGGACGATAAAGTCAGGATAATAGATCTTGTTGATCTTCAGCCAGCTGGGTATCTTGCTGGGGTCCTAGAAGAGAAGGATGCCATCATGCCAACCTGCTCTTGGTGCAGGGAGGTGAGAAGCAGTGCTTCTCCTAAGGACCCTCCCTGCTCTGCTGTGGTGTGGACGAGAGGGCAAGCAGGGAGGTGCTCAGCCTCAAGGCCGAGCGCTGCTCCCGCGGCAGAGGAGACGCTCTCCTCTCTGGGGAGGGAAATGATACTTTGCAATCTACCTGGAATGAAGGCTAGTCTAGAGGCTGGGCCAGCCTGGTCTCGTCCTCACCTTGCTGATCTTTACCATGTCCAGCTCCTTCTGCAGGCGCGCAAGTGTCGCATCATCGTGGCCACCTGAACACTTGGTGACAGTGCACCACTTCTGGCTGCGTGGGTCATAGCAGCCCATGAGGAAGATGGACATCATGCCACCTGTAGGGGAGGATGAGTCACACTGTAGGGAGGAGGGAGCCTGCTCTGCTGCACCACGGAGCCTCAGCAGATGCCCAGGGAGCCCATGGAGAGCAAAGGGCCTAGGTCTTGTCTTGGCATTAAGTGTTAGAGTTCACCACGTGTGCAATTCAACTTAACCTTCCTGAGCTCCAATTTCCTCTTTAGGATTAGCCTGACCATCTTGTTGGACTCTGGCGAATAGAAGTTCAACAACACAGTCTGTCTGCAAGTTCTTCAGACCCCAGCTTCCCTACAATTTGGAAGTGGTGATTCCTCCTTGAGAAGAGGATCTGAAGAAATAGTTGGTGAAACACTTCTTTGTGTCAATTGTTTGACTAGATTTTTGCCTGCTCTTTTCCTACCCAAGTTTGCCGCTCTCAGATGTCCCTGTTGAGGTGGCCTTGGCCAGTCTGGAGTCCCAAATCTCAGGACCAGAGTTCATCACTGGTTGTGCTGGAGGTCAAGTTTGCAAAATGGACCCTAAGCAGAGCCTTCCAAAGAAGTACTGTATGGGGCAAGAGGCCATCCTGACCTTTGCTCCCTTGTCCATAGAAGGCCCCAAGGACCACCAGGTCAGCTGTATCCGCCATGGCCCCTTCGTTTAAATAGTCCTTCTTCACTTTCAGCCAGTGCCGCTTCCCAGGCTCATAAGTACTCTGAGGGGAGGCAAGAGAGAGACCGAGAACTAGAACAGAAGTGGTTTCTTTCATTGCTTTACACCAGACTCATCAAAGCACCTAGCCCATGCCACGGGGGAAAGAGCTGCAGGATACACACAAAGTCCACTGTTCAGATCTAAACCAGACACGTCCAGACCCTGGACGGCACCCACCCATTCCACCGAGGACTGCTGCTGCCCTCTCCTGGCCAGGGCTGATGAGAAAGCTGAAGCGTTTGTACAAGGAAAAGCAAAGGTGGTGATGCTGTTACCTTCAAATCCTTGAGCACCAGCCCTTCTAAACCCTCACGAATCACACGGTTTATCATGTCGGCCAAGTCTGAAGCTTTCTAAAGGATAACAGGAAGGTTTAAGTGAGAAAAGAGAGCGGCGAAGGAGTAAGGTGGAAAGAATTCCCTTTCTCAGATGTGGCATCCTACAGAAACATCTGAACTTGAAAACAAGGGACAAAGGCTTTGCAGAGCAGGAAGCCCCCTAACTGGAAAGCTAAGGTGGCTTAGGCTGCCTTCAAACATGAGCCATCTACCCAGGGAGGATGGGTATTGCCTTGCCCTCCTGGGTGGAAACTTGTGTACCGTCAAGTCGGAACCAATTCATTGCTGACCTTCCAGTGGGTTTTTGAGGCAGTAAATCAGTCAGGAAGAGACTGCCCATCTTTTTCCCAAGGAGCAGCTGGTAGATTTGAACCACTCGCCTTTAGATTGGCAGCTTAACTCCTTACAGCTAGGGCACTGGAGCTCTCTGGGAGGAAACTGGTGGACAGAAACAGCAGCAGGCCCCTCAAGAGAGTAATAATCAGACTCATTCTCCCAGTCATACCCAATCCAAAGGTTCTCTGCTCTGCCTTCCAACCATGAGGACCCTGCCCAGGGGAATCTTTGCTCACCGTGACATGCTTCATTTCTGAGAACATGATCCGGTTGGGGATTTCAACCATGTTATCATGAAGAAACTTCCGCCGCTCACAGAGAGGCCTAGGATAGACAAGGGAGCTTAGGTCAAGGCCAGGATGTGCCCCCCTCACCCAAGCAGGAGTCTTGAAGAGGAAAGGGGCACAATGCTTCTTGCGAGCAGGTGATTAAAGCCCCATGTCTGCCAGCTGCCTGCCCAGGGAAGCAGGCTCGGTCCTGACAGGACGGACGGACAGCGGTGAGCTGTGGCACAAAGCCACCACAGAGACGCATTCCGGTTTTCACATTATCCCCTGAAGTCAGGGGAGGAGGGACCTCTAGTGCAAAGAGATTGTATAAATCCTGGTCTCACCCAAAAAATGGCTCAAGCCCTTTTTTTTTACCCCTTGGTACCTTTGCTACACCCCAAGGCTGAGCGAACGACCCTCAGGCGAGCAGGCTGACGCTGTGACTCAGACCTCAAGCCTAACCCAAAGCCCTACCTCCAACAATGCTGTCTCTCTTCTAAGGTGGAGGCAACACTTCTCAGAGTGGAAGAGGATGACTGTGGTTCTTGCACCCAAGAATTTTGATATAGCTAAATCAAGGCTGTTAGTTTTCCCCAAGTCCAACCACAGCCCCTGCTTCTTACTGGCAGTCTATTCTGAAATAAACTCTGAACTGAAATATGAGTGCTTTATTACCCCTATGGGTGCTGCTGGAGCCAGAGACCGAGACCTCTCTGTGTGCAGTCTGTTCCCTGCAGGAGTCGACTGTGCTGTAGCAGACACTTTTCTGGGGTTGGGTTTCCGGTCACTCAAGCCTTAGGAAGTGCAGGAGCTTCTCCTCACACTGAGGGGGGAGGTGGGCTGTGTCACACCTGTGCTCCGCTCTCAGCTCCCGCCTAGCCTGCTCTCGCCAGCTCTTGAACACAAAGTCCCTTCCCCTCCCATTTCCAATCTATAACCCCATGTCCCCATCTAGGAAATGAAAATAAATGTCTAGTAGTTTGTGAATTTAAAAACATTAGCCAACCTCACCTGTCCATCAAGCTGACACCATTGAAGTAAACACAATCAAAAACAAACAGGCAAACATTAGCATCTTGGAAAGCAGCTTTCTGTAAGGGAAAATGAAGTATAAAGAGATGAGGGACAGAAGACGGCAAAATAAATTAGGGAAGGCTATTGTTCTGGAGGCTCTTAGAAGCACCTTACAGAAATACTCCTATCTATGCTTGGATACCCCTGGGTCACAAAGGCACTCAGCACATGCTGCTGAATAGAAACTATTCCAAGTAGAAGTTAGTTCCCAATACCACCTCCTCTTAGGGAAAAAGAGACACATCTCAGCTGAAGGCTCAATTTAAAACGGTTCAGAGTGAAGAATCAGCTGTACCCTTCTCTCTGTACAGACCTAACCAGATAGACACATGCATGCACTCTCACTCTCTCTCTTTTGCATTCACACAGCTGATCCTGAACCAATTACCTTGTGCACACCAAGGGTACCAAAGGGCAGAGGTTTGCCTGTCTTGTTGTCTATCAGGAGCACTTCAGAGTCCAAGATCATGCTTTGCCCTCCAGGAAAAGCCTGGGGAATGTAGTCCTTAAAGTGAGCCACCTGCAGGCAGAAGGGTCACTGAGGGTGGGGTTACCAGGTGGTGAAAACCTGAAGCCAAACCTCAGAGAGCAAAGCCTAGGGTCCAAGAGAACCACCTGTGCAGAGATTTGTCCATTTTGGGGGGAAGAGGGGAACACGGGACGATACACATCATACCGGCCGGGAAGACAAGAAACAGATGCCAGGCATCAGGAGCAACAAGGGAAAATGAGCAGGTCTGAGTGAAGCGCTGCTCCCTCTGACACATTTCAGAATGAGTAAGGATGCTTACACTTGGGTTTTTCCTGATAAAAGCAGAGCCCTAATCTCTGGTAGAGAAAGACCCCAGTGCAACCAACGGTAACACTGCCAACTGACACCAACAATGAGATCCCTCACCTGCACAAGTATGTACATATCTGCTGTTGTTACGTACTACTGAGTCAGAACTGACCCATGGCTGACCCTCCAGTGGGTTTCCAGAGGCCCTAAATTGAATAGGAAGCCCATCTTTCATTCAGAGGAGATGGTGGAATTCCTTAGCACTTGGCCATCATTATCCAGGATGAGAGGACCAAGAACAGGGAAGGCCCAGGCTCCTTTAATCACTATCCTAGCCCTTATTAGAAGAATCATAAGCACAGCACAGGTAAGAGATGAAAACTTGGCTAAGGAAAAGCAGGGGGCTTTTAATTCTGGAAAGTTGTGTTCAAACATCTTCTCCCTGAGTAGTAGGAGGTGCTCACGAACACCAAGCCCAGCAAGAGTAGCTCCTCCCGGGGCTAACTGGGCCCCACAGAATGAGGGAACCCATGCTAATGATCCACAGGGAGGTCACTGCTTAGTTCTCCCCTAAATGGCGAGCTTTTTGTCTCTAGTTTTCTAATAAGGAGAACAGTCTCAGGTTAGGACACAAGGACTCAAACACCAGTGTGAGCCAGGAAAGAAGAAGGGCAGGAGCTGGACCATCCTGAGGCTTTTCCCTGAAGGCCCCCAATGCTTGCAGTGGCCCTGCGAGCTGGGAAGGGCTGAGTGAGCTCAGAGGCCCGTCCCTGCTGATTCCATCCTGGCTGCACACCAGACAAGACTTCCAGACACTCCCATGGGACTGTGTTCACACATAATGGAAAGTTCGTGACGGCCAAGGCTGCTATTTTTTTTCCTCACTGCTACAGGACTATCACTGAGAAAACTGTCTAACACAGACTAAACACCTGGGAGCTAGTTGGTGAGTAAATTAATGAACTGCAGCCCAGCAGCCCCCTGTCCACACACAGGATATGGATGGCCGAGAGCTGCAGCTCACTCACCAGTACGCCCAACATCTTAGCATCACTGTGGCAAAGACATATTATTACTGTCTGGTTCTGGCCCAACTCAGCCATCTGTGGCCTCTTTGCCTGTCCCTGCCAAGCAATCTGTATTACTGGGAGACACCAGAAATGATTGTATTTTATTCATTCAAATATAAAATAAGGCCCTATTGAATACCAATCTGGTCCTAAGTGTTTCTGAGAGGCAGGAGAAGGACAGGTCAGACAAACGTGAAGGGATTTATTTCTACCTTGTGAGGTAGGACGGGCTTGAGGCTGCGGCTGAAGTAGCTGAAGTGGTCCCCGTTCTTATGCACCTGTACTCGTTCACCATCGTACTTGATCTCGGAGTACATGCCATTTGGACACTTCTTCATGGCATACTCGATGGACTTGCAGGCCTCCGCCTGAGAAAACAAAGCAGGGCCTGAAGACTTAAAGGTGCTTTTCTATGAATGAAGCACAGCTTCTAGGGAGCTGAGGGACCCAGAATTAGGCTAATGGGTCAGAGCCCAGGTCCTGGGGAATGACTGCCCAATGAACACACTGAGGGGACACGACTGGAAGAGGTGACAAGGATAATGAGGTCTAGGCATATTCTTGTATAAAGCATCAAGAGCTTGCATTCAGAAGAGTATGAAATGCAATTATGGTGGAGAATAGGAGAGCCTAATGCTAAAACATCTCATTTTTCCCCCTCAACAATTTAGGATCTTGAGGACCTCTGGGTTATTAATAATAAACATAGTATGTTTTTATTTTATGGATGAGAATACTGGCATGCAGAGAAGTACTTATTTATTAAAGATACACAGCAAATGGCAGGAATAAGTTTTGAATCTAGGCCTGATTCTAAGGCTAACCACTAAGCTATATATAATCCATGCCACTCTTTAAGTGACAAAGTACAGACACCAGAGAGATCCCATGTAAGACCACTACTGCTGGTGCCTGGGGCTCCGTCCCTGGGATGGAGCTCTCGCTACTTTTGGTATTCTACAGCTCTCTGCCATCCAGTTAGAACCAATAGCCCCCAGCAGGTTTTCAGAGGCTGTAAGTCGCATGGGAGAGGAGACTGCCCCCATCGTCCCCCTTTGGAGCAGCTGGTGGATTTGAACTGCTTGCTTTTAGGTTGGCAGCACAACTCCTTACCTACTACACCACTAGAGCTTCCTCTTGGAACTAGCTGCTCCATATTCCTAGGAAAGCAATAAATTTCCCTATCTCAAACAGGACTAAAGCTTTGGTGTAAGACATGCTAAAAAAGCATTCATTATTGGAAAACTCCAAAGGCCCTCACAGGTAGATAGGGCAGTGTATGTGATGGGCCCTGGGGGAAAACCCCATTTCCTGTGAAATAAGCAGAGGCCCAAGATGATCTTGAGAACTGGCCTTCCATTCTTTCCACTTCCTCGCCTCTCTTCCCAGAGACAGTGAGGTCTGAATCATCCTGTCACTGGAAGCCTGGCTGTCAGTGACTCAGGAATTATTTAGTATATCCACTTATCTCCAGACAAGGTGACAGATAAACCAATGCAGGGAGATGCTTCAGAGAATTTCACATGTCATTCACACATGGAAATTAAAGAGGCCAAGTAACTCATCTAAAACCACAGCCTGTTGGTGGCAGAGCCGGGAGGGACAAGATTACATCCTTCCCTTAGATCACACTACCTTTGTCTTCCTTTAACATCAGGAAACACCCTTTTGCAGGCCTACCCTTCTCCAAACTCCACCAGCCTGCAGAAGCTATCAACACGTGGCCTTTTCCCAAAGTGGACGGCATCTGGAGAAGCGCAGTGAGCGCAGCACTCCTCACCAGCATGGGCTGCACCGGGGTCATGAGCGAGGCCTGCACGCTCAGAGTTCGTTTCCGGCCTGGCTCCTTCTCCACCTCCTGCTCATTGCGAAGGACTCTCTCCACCACGTCCTGCAGGTTGCGTGAGGCTTTGAAGGCTTCATAGGCATTGGGGTCAAGGGCATCCAAGCTGTCAAGGGGGAGAGGAGCAAAGAAACAAAAAACCATCCAGGTTTGACCCTTCTGCTCTTGAGAGCAATGTTCGTCCTCAGAGAAAGCAGGAATCCCAGTATGGAGAAGGGGGTGTGTTCTGCTTAAAGACTTTAGCAAAAAAAGAAAAGGCACTTTAAAAATTCCGTTTTTTGAAGTATACTGTCTGTGCCTTAGCAAAGGCGGTAGTTAAGAGTAAGCAAGAAACTCACTACACTTAATGAACGTTCCATAGGTGATGGAATTGTTCTTTTACGGACTTTCAATAGTAGCCACTCGATGAGAAGGGCAGGCAAATGAACATCAAGGGAATGAACAGGGTCTCACTAGAAGTTAAAAGGTGGAACTGGGATTCAAATCCAAACTTCTGACCCCAGCTGGCTACACAGGGAGCTGACAGCTCATGCTTCAGAGGAGCTGGTACTTACACATGTTTTGCACCTGCGTTCATCTTCAGATCATGCTTGATCAACCTGATGATGCACTTAAGGTCGTTGGCAGTAGACCTAGGTGGTAAAGCACATTCTACTTGGTCTGTGAAGAGCTCTGGGTCCCCAGACCTTCTTTCCCAAGTGACTCCATTTTCCCAGATCCATCCCCAGAAGGTGTGGTCTGCGAGTGGCCCCACCTGGAGGCAATGTCCTGCAGGGCCTGCTGCTGCTCATCCTCCTTCGTGAGCCTGGACAGTTGCCGGAGGAACTCGTCCACCTCCTGGATGGTGAGGAGGCTCTTGGAAGTTGGGGGGAAAGACTTGCTCTGCTCAAAGAAGACTCTGATTGTCTCTGACACGTCACCCTGTCTCCAAAAACCAAAATACCATTGAGGAGTGCCCAGGGCTGCCAAGTACATCCCCAAGGCCCAGGACCAGGGAGAAGCAGAGACTCAGTCAATGCTCCTGGCCCCACCACACTTCTTTGAGAATCAACCTCTCCCATGATTTCTACAAGGGACACCTCTGCTCCCCACAGGATCTGGATACCTGCCTGAGCTGGGAAGAGACATGGCAGCAACTAGGAGTTGAGCCAGTTTGATTCCTCTCAAGAATTTGAACTAAGACACAACCATAATCATCAGAAAACAGAGGTTCCTGAATGTGTATTTTTCATGGTACAGAGTCCGGAATCAGGACTGAGCAGCATGTCCAAGTTAAGAGGGGACATGAAAAAGAAAAATCAGAATAAAAAAACCATAGATTCAGAAGAGATGGAAGCCTCAAACCCTGACTCTTCAGTCGTGGGCCCTGTGTGGCTCAGCAGCAGTAAATGGTCAATTCTCAGAAAATGATGAAATGAACAGCTCTAGCCTCACATTCAGCTCCTGCTTAGTGGACACTTATTCGAATATGCTTCCATTTCCTAAAGCAGGATGTGCCCCAACCAGAAATAAGAGGCTGCAGTGACCGGTGTAGCAGAACCCCACTGGGAGTGCCTTCTCGCCCTTCCTCTGACCTGTTCTAGGTCCCGAGCCATGTCATCTGGATTGCAGTTGAAAATTCGGCTGAAAAGCTTCACAATCTGCTTATCATTCAGGTTGTAAACACTCTTAATGACACCTGGCAGCAGCAGTTTCACTGTGAGGTACATGTCACCGCGGAAACCATCTAGAGACACAGAGAAAGGAGCCCTTCTTAAGAAATGGGAGCTTAAATTAATACAAACTCAAGGTAGCAGATTCAGGACGGAAACAGAGCGACAGCTCACTCCCTGTGTTCCGACCTGCCTGTGCACACCACTACTGCGGCACAGGCCTCGAGTTCAGTGGCTGGTGGTTTACCTCTCTGCCTCCCCTTTAGCCTGAATATTATGTATGTTCAATGAGCCCTTTTTATATGAATGCAAGACACAAGATTTCATCCCAAAGTGTGTGTATGCTTCCCTAAAATTTAACCAAACGCACAGGAGAACTTCCTCTTGGCCAAATGGGATGTGTTAACTGGTTTACTGTGGACATTATAAAGGCGAAGGAAAAAAGATGCAAAGCTTTTTGAGCAATACTAGCTATATAATTTGAAGAGCTTTCTGTAAAAGAAAACACAGGGTGCCTTGTTTAGAACTTTGAAGAATTTCAAGACATTGGCAGCAGCCACAGGCCCCAGGAAACCGCACAGGTTGTGTGCCCATGAAGCCAGGATGCCTGAGACCCCACCTCCGGCTGAGCCTTTCCGCAGGAAGTCCTGGATGATCTGTGTCTTTGTGTTGTAGCTAGGGTTTTCAGCCACCATGGCACACAACTTTCGGAACTCTCGCAGCAGGCAATCCTTGTGTGTGGGGTCACATCTGCTTGAGGACAGGGTAGGGCTTGAAGGGGCCTCCTCAGAGTTGTTGGGTTTGGCTGTTGAGGACAGAAAAAGCGAAAGAGCAGAAATGACTCATTTTGCCTTTCTAAGAAGGAAAAAAGGGAAAGAGGAAAATGAACAGGCACTCTGCTGGCGCTTTTTATGTGGCTGCACATAATCCTTCTAAATAGCCCTTTGAGGTAGATATCATTACAATCACTTATTTTAGGTTTGAGGAGGGAAAAGAAGAAAGAGAGGTTACTAATTCCCCCAAATCTCACAGCTATTAGTGGGGAAGGAACAATGGCCTCACACCATGCAGAGCACCAGGCTGGTGTGCATCTCTTTCAATGAGCGCTTCATGGAAGAACAAAGGCCGCCTTCAAGTCAAGAATGGCCAAGGGCATCTGAGAGCCATTGTAAAGCTGATTCCAGAAAAGCTGGGGCAAGGAAGAAGGAAGAAATCAAGGAACACACTAGCGATGATGATACCTCTGCCAATGTAGACTGTCAGACTTTAAAGAAGCCTTAGATTATGAGACCAAGGAGAGACTTCAAGGATCACCCATCTTACCCAGCACAGTCAGGTTCTATTTATACACTCCAGATTCCTGGCCACTCCTAACCTTCTCCACCAACACTTTCTTTTCTTACTTACTGTTTGGCTTTTTTTTAAAAAAGAAAAAAAATATATACATACATACATATATATACACACACATACATACATACATATGTATGTATGTGTGTATATATGTTTATGTATATGTGTATGTACATGTATATGTATATGTGTGTGTATATATATATACACACACACACACACACACACATATACATACATACATACGTACATACATACATGGCAATCAATCAAAAAGGCTTTTCTCCAGACATCTAAAAAAGATCAATTCTTTAGGGATTCCCTCTCACCTCCTTTTGACCAGCTGCAAGGCAAATTTTATTCTCCAAACGTGTGGCAAAACCATTAGCAATCCTCTCGCTGACACAAGCAGCTTCTTGTCTGGGCTTGGTAAATTATAAATCTGCATCTCTGATTTGGGAGTCTAATTAGAATTTTAGGGGACACAAACTTCAGAGCAGGACATTCAGCAAAGTTGTAAGGTAACTGGAACATGTTTCTCTCACTTCCTCTTCAGCTCTCTTCCCAATATTAGGCCCTTTCTACAAATACACTGTTCTTACTGATACTCTTTTCTTAGCTCCATATTTTGTCCAGCATTGAACAAAAAAGCTCCAGAGTTTTTTAAAGTAACAAAAGCCCCAGAGTCAAGTACTGTTTTCACAACTTCATTTCCTTTAGTCTCAAAACCCTGTACAGGAGACAAGATGCTGCCAGTCCCTTTTCAGAAGAGGGCCCTCAGGCTGAGAATGGTGAAGGGACTTGCTCAGGATTAAATGGACATTAATGACAGTGCTAGGACTGTCTTCTGACCTCTGGTTGAGGCTTCTTTAAACCATATAAAGCTATTTCCTGGCACAATTTCTAAGTGGACTTACTTTATTAATTTTCTTTGGTTGAGTCAGTCACAAAAAAACTGAGCTGCAATCCCAAAGGCACGTGGTTTGATTCCAACTGCTGCCTGTTGGTGGAAGGATGGACAATCTCCTCTCCTGTGATTTACTATCTCTGAAAACCTGCTGGAAGGTCAGCTATGGGTCAGTTCCAACTCCCTGGTACACAACAACAGTATAGAGTCAACAAAGAATACAGGGTAAAAACACAGGTGCTGAAGTAAAAAAAGACTTTCAGTGTAAATACAGTCATAAAACTTTGAGCTAAAAGCAAGCAGGGAATTTCAAAATCTCAAAACACATTTTCTGAGATAGTTACTGGGGAGTGAAAATAGGGTATTATAACAGAAGATGAGTGTGAATCTTAATAGTTGTTTATACTGTGACTACTATAATAATGTTGTTGTTATGTGCCATCGAGTCGTTTGCGACCCTATGTACAGCAGCCCTAAACTGTGCTCTATCCTGTGCCAATCTCATTGCCTCTGACACACCCATCCCGATTACCCCAGTCACTGAATCAATCCACCTCATAGAGGGTCTTCCTCTCCTGCGCTGTCCCTCTACTCTACCCAGCATGATGTCCCTCTCTAAAGACCTGTCTCTCCTTACATGTCCAAAGTATGTCAGACGAAGCCCCAGAATCCTTGCATAAATGCAGGATGTTATTTGACTCCTGTATACATATGTAGAAATAAAACTAGGATGCATTTATAAAAAAAAAAAAGACTTCAGTGTAACTACAACCTCCAGAGTGAATGTGAACATCAGCGCTCTCATTTATAAACTGAGTCCAGTAAAACTACTTCATAGGGTTAAATGAGAAAGAAACAAAGTTATACATGTCAAAGCCCCTACATCAATATTACAAAAGGTTTATAAAAGATATTGATCTTTCCAATGCCCCTGTACACCAAATGTTTAGTAAAATTTTTCCAAGCCTCATCTGTGAAACAGTAGTTTTATATTTCTATAGGAGAGGAACCATGTATGCATATTCTACCCATTGATGACAAGCTGATTCCAAATTACGGGGACATTGCACGACTTGGAGGCTATAAATCTCAATAGGAAAAGGGTATCTATATGTTATTTATTTCAATACAATAGATAAAGAAAGCTTACTCTATCAAGAAGATATAACTAATAGCCAAGATCCGCCCCTTTGGTTAACAGTGATCCCTCAGCATCCATGTCAATTTTTCAGAGATGCTCTCTCATTTCTCAGGGGCTATGTCTCCTACTGCACTGTATGTACTTCTCTCTCTCAGTTTGTTTCAAACTTTATTTATTAATGTATTGGAAGTTTCTGGAAACGGCTTATCTTCCAAGTAGACTATTTGCTCTTTTGTCATCCTTGTAGTCGCAGTGCTGAGGGGCAGTTCATAGAGAGCTGTGCTAAGTTAAAAGTGGAGCTTCATCTATGACCAGGAGAGGATAAAATAGATGAATGGGACCTTCTAAGAATCAAATCCCTATGCACATCCAAAAACTTCTCCAACAGAGTAAAAAGGGAAGCCACAGATTGGGAAAAATATGGTCATGACATGTCAGACAAGGGACTTATATCTAGAATTTATAAAATACTTGACCACCACCACAAAATAAAGGTAAATAATCCAATTGAAAAATGGGCAAAGGATATGAACAGACAATTCACCAAATAAGACATTCAGATGGCCAACAAGCACCTGAAGAAATGTTCAAAATCCCTAACTCTAAGAGAGATGCAAATCAAAACAACTATGAGATATCATCTCACCCCAGTCAGAATAGCAAAATTTAACAGAACAGCAAACATCAAATGCTGGCGAGGTTGCGGAGAAACTGGACCCTTTATTCACTGTTGGTGGGAGTATAAAATGGTGCAATCACTTTGAAAGGCTGTATGGCGCTTTCTCAAAAGGTTGCAAATAGAAATACCATATGAGCCAGCAATTCCACTTCTGGGAATTTACCCTAAAGAAACTATAACCGCCAGCCAGGCAGATATATGCACACCCATGTTTATTGCGGCTTTGTCTAAAATAGCAAAGAGTTGGAAACAACCCAAGTGCCCATGAACAAATGAATGGATAGAGAAACTCTGGTATATTCACACAATGGAATACTATGCAGCACTGAAAAACAAGGAATTCATGCAATATTATGCAAAGTGGATGACCCTAGAGGACATTATGCCAAGTGAAATACCTCAGTCACAAAAGGACAAATATTGCATAGGGCCACTGTTGTAAAAAGGACTGACATTGGGGTTGAGAGAAAGCAGAAGGGGAGGAGTGATGTATACTGCATTGCAACAGATGAGGGAGAAAACTGCTTAAAAGGGATATAGGATTAGGTATTATTGTCATGAAAGGAGTCCAGAATGAATGCTGCACAGTGCAGTGGACTTAGGGGGAGGAATTACAAAGCAATGAAAGTCTTTCTTTTACATATCAAGGAGAAAAGTGAATAGCGGGAGGGGATGGGCAGTGAGAAAAGTGCAACAATGAATGACTGGAAACCCTAAGTCTTTGTAAACTTTCATTTAAAAAAAAAGTGGAGCTTCTTTTGTGGATCAAATCCACTTCTGATTCTGATGAAAGTCAGGCAACCTCCTCCCTCCTACCATGGTTTTGCAACCTCCAAAAACCTGTTGGGAGGGTCAGCTATGAGTCAGTTTGGTCTCAAAGGCAATGAGTGTAAGGGCCTTTTCTGAGTACTATTTGTAGCTCTCGTGGCTTAGTGTAAAGGTTTGCATTTCCATCCTAAGCCATGGTTCGAATCCACCAGCTGTTGCACAGGAGCAAGATGGGCAATTTCTTCTCATGCATTCTATGCCTCTCAAAACCTACTGGAGGGTCAGCTATGAGTTGGTTTCAACAAACTGGTACATAACAACATCACCGTGGACTTTAGTGTTGTCACTCGGAAAATATTTGTTAAATGATTTTGGAATACTTATGTGCAGTCTAATACATATCAGGCACTATCTAAGTGCTTCAGAGCTATTATTTAAATCTTTACCACAACCCCATGAAAGTATTGTTCCGTATACATACATACATACATACACACATACATACATACATACATACATACATACATACATACATATATATATATATATATATACACACACACACACACACACACTGAGAGGTCACTTCACCGGTAAGTTTAAATAATTTTTTTTTTTAGTTTAAATAATTTGTTCACGGGTTCATGGCACCAAGCTAGTAGTTGAGACAAGATCTGAACCCAGGTTGATTGATTCCTATATCCATATGTTTCAACACCAGGCTGCACTGTCCTCAAAGAAACCGTAAACACCTTTCAGGGCCTTCTGCCTCCTGCTCCATGTTCCGTCAATCCATCAACCCTTCAAACATGTAGCTGTGAAACTAAGAGAATGAGGGATGTACCCTATACATGGTATCTCTCTTCTCCCATACTTTCAGCTCTAGTTCAGGAATGTTAATGATGTCATTTCTCAAAAATTTGTCATTATTAAAAAGTAAGGATGAAAAGAGGAGATTACAACAGTCTATCTGGCTAAACAACCATTTCAAAGGGAAAATGTCTTGACAAAACAAACATCTTTCTGCTCCAACAGAGATTAAAGTGAACAAAGAGACACAAGTGAAGCAGCGAGTATTAGCTATTACCTGTCTCTACTCGGGCAGAAGCAAATTGTTATGGAATGAAAAGACCGGGAGTACAGAATTTTTCCCTCATAGCCGGGACAGTAAAGTGAATAAAAGTGAATAAAGGCACATAACAACTAAATTAGCTCTATTCGAACTCACCTGAAAAGCCAGAAAATTTTCGGGGATTGGGATTGGTTAAAGATGTGCCTTTTGCTGGAGCTGTTATCTGGCCAGTGGCTGTCAACTGAGCCTGGACAACAACTTTCTTCTTTGGTACGCCTGCTGCCTTAGATGACAGATCTGTGGGGCATCAAAACAAGGGAATAATTTTTCAGAGAAAGAATTCTGAAGAGAGCTTCCAAGGAATCCATCAATTGCTCTTAGTATCTTGCTGAGTAAGTTATTACCATCCTTCAACGCTGGTAGCTGGCTGGTGACAGAGTACTGAGAGATGAAACAAGTACTTGTACTGGGGACAAAAGGGCTAGCTACTATTCTAACAGTGACCTAAATAATCCTCAACACTCTCCACCTCGTACCCCATATATTTATTTACACACACACACACCCCATCTCATACCCCATATATTTACACACACACATTCTCTCTCTCTCTCTCTTTGGAAATGACAGGAAATCAGAAGACACATATATAAGTAGCTAAAACTCATGGAGCTCACCTTGGTGGAATTTGCAGATGGACAGACAGGTAAACTAAGATGATCACTGATATCGTAGTATGTATAGGCAAGAAAAGTGTCAGTTGCTAAGTTACCAGAGTTGTGATAAATGCTACTTTACATTTTCCTTCCTGTGAGTGAGATGGATCAAAAAGTATCAAGGGCTGAAGCCAGTGGCTCCCGTTAGGCAGGGTTAGGTAGTAAGCTTGAGAATGAGGAAGATGATAATTTCTGTCCTAAAGGTGTTTTTTCCCCTCTCAAAATACAAGGAAACTTAAATTCCCAGCCCTTGAGTCAGATCTGACTCACACTGACCTCCAGAAGGTGTGATTTACAGCCTCTGAAAACTCCCTGGAGGGCCAGCTCGGCATTGGCTCCAACTCAGCGGCAATGAGAGGAGTCATTAGAATCCTACAGTAACTAAAATGACACTTTACTGAAGATATGAAAACTCCTTGACAAAGACATTGAAATAGCACCTAGAATTTGGTCTCTCAAATTTTCATCCACTAACAGAAACTAGCATTACTAAGATACCATGGCTGGTAACAGTCATGGAAGAAAGCAAGCCCTTCAGGTCATTTAAGGCGCCGGGGGGGGGGGGGGGGCAGATAAATACAAGCCACAAGGACACAAAACCAAATTGAAGGAGTTGCCACTGCCCAAGTACCAAAATAACAATAGTAATAAAGAGTTGTTGTTGTTTTTAAGTGCCATTGAGTAGTGGGAGACTCATAGCGACCCTATGAACGAAAAGTCCTGGACACTTATGTAACTTTCATCCTTTTTCTAGATTCATAGGGTTTCCAGAGGCAGGCTATCATGGAAGAGGATCCGACTCCTGATTCCAAAATAAAGAGTAGTCACTGAAAATAATAGTGGGTACTCTACTCCTAAAAAATGTCAGTGTCATAAAAAGAAAAGACTGTGGAAATGTTCCAGATTAAAGGAAGCTGTGTTGGTGATATAGTGGTTAGTACAGTGCCTCTCTATATATGCAATACCCAGTCTTAGACCAGGTTCCACCTAGAAAACATTTATTCAGGTGACAAAACTGAAATACTGTAGTTGGTACTCTAGCAAAGAATTTACTCAAGTTGGTAACTAGAGTCAGGGCATGTAAAAGACTACTTCTATTCTTATGCTACACACACAGAAGTATTTAAAGGAAACCGGCTACAATGTATGTCCTGGAAATTATTTTTCCAATACTTGTTTCATACTTGGCCAGTGGAAACCCTTATAAACTGGTTTTTCAGGTTCTTGGAACATGTGTCCATCTCCCCCCCTTTTTTAAAAGACTGACAATTGGGAAAAAGCAAGTAAGGGAAGGGAGAAAAAAAAGAAACAGAAAGCATGTGAATAAAAACAATAAAGCCAATAGGGTAAACTGCTAATAACCGGTGAATCTGGATAAAGAGACTAGGATCACTCTTTATACTATTTTGATTATTTTGTAAAACTCTTCTGTGTGTTTAAAATGGACTCCAAATAAAGAGTTCTTAAAAAGTAAAGAGTGGACTCTATTCCCTTAGGCAATTCTTTTATGGGGGGGAGGGGGAATAGGCCTTTCCCACCCCACCTGCAATGTGCTGGGTAATCTGTTCCTTTTCATTGTCTTCTAGCTCTTCCCAGCCTTCCAGCTCTGTGAGATCCTCGATTTTTTTCGTAGTGGCCCGGGCCCGCTCCAGTTTCTCAAACATGCATTTGATATGGTACCACTCCTTCATATCACCCCCAGACTCTGAAAAGGGATTGGGCACCACTTTGCCAATTCGGCAAACACCCTTTACAATCTTTTCCTTGCATTTTTTGCAGCCAGCTGTGCCACGTTTGGCATAGTCCACGCAGAACCGCTGCTCAGCCATCTTACTGGAGCCACTGCAGAGTCCCACATGCGATCCCAGTGAGAAAACCAGGCAGGCGACACGTGGTCTTGAACTGCTTCTCTGGAATGATAGAACAGGCTTTGTTCTTAGGAGGAGACAGTGTCCATGAAGTAAGTCTGTTTCAGAATAGTGACTGAACTGTCTTGTATCAGGCCGATGATGTAGCCCTGGGAATAGGCAGCGTTCTGTTCGGCTGAGTACACGGAGCGCTTGTGGGATGAAGGTCTTGAAAGCCAATGTCATATAGCTGTATGAAGGGAGGAGAGGTAGAGAATGTAAGATATAAACAAGAAGCTAGGATTCTAGTTTCCTCAAAGGTCAGAGTCCTACACAATTCACACGACTAATCCAACACTTTCCAAGGTATAAGAGATTCATTCCTCATAAGATGTAGAAGAGTTCCAATATTAAAATCCAATTTGCAAAAGAGGGTACTACAAGCATATCTAGTCAAACACGACTAGGAGAACCCAAAAACATAAAAGCTTACTCATTTTCTTAGGCAATCAACGATACCTGGTGTTTATAATGAATGATGAGTTTTAAGTCATTAAGAAAAAGTTACCAGATTCTGGGGTTTCTTTTTAATCATCAAGTCATGAAGGATTTTTTTTCCCCAGTCATTAAGTTTTCAATGTGAAGTGTAATACTTAAGTCAACCTCATAATCCACTCTATGCAGACCCATGATTTCATCAGAAACCCATTTTTACAAGGAAACTACCAGACACTGGAATAAGATTGCCCAAATTCAAATGTGGCTTGAAAACTTGCAGAGTAAAACTGGTTTCCCATTTGATTATTTATAAACTTTGTTTTACATTACTTACAATACACAAAGTAACCATGTAAAAGAGTCAGTAATTCTCACTTCCATTAATCCTTCTATTGAGCCCCTTCCAGTCTTCTGAGTTTTATACCCTGGCAAATGCTATTTTTTTTTTTATCCCGTGTGCTTGATTATTTATGGAGTAAATGCTTTCCTGATTAGCTGTATATCTTGACAAACAACTTAAACTCAATTTCTGTTCCTCAGTTTTGATAGTAATAGTACTTAAAACTCAAGGAATTATTTCAAGGGTTAAGTCTTCTAACAGAAATTAGGCCACAGTTGAGTTTTGATGAGGGTTACATAGCTGTGGTGCTGGAGAAGAGTATTGAAAATACTGCTAGGAAAAAAACAGGTTTGTCCTGGAGAGGGTGAAGCCAGGCTGCTCCTTGGAGGCAAGGATTCTGAAGCTTCATCTGACATACTTTGGACATGTTACAAGGTGGGATCAGTCCTTGAAGAGGGACGTCATGTTTGGGAGGGTGGAGAGACAGAGCAGGAGAGGAAGACTCTTGATAAGACGGGTTGATTCAATGACTGGGGTATTGGGGATAGGTGTGTCAGAGACAATAAGATTGGCACAGGATAGAGCAGGGTTTAAGGCTGTTGTACATAGGGTCGCTGAGTCACAAGGGACTCAATGGCAGGTAACAGTAATACCACCACCACATAGGGAATTTTGGGATGGACCTTCTTTAAGTGGTACAGCAGTCCTCTATTTGCTGTACTGAAGTGACTTGGAGTTGCTCTGATGCTCTACACTGTGCCATGGTTGTGTCAAATACTATAATGGTTACCCATCATGGACAGAGTTTGGAGGAGCTTCCAGATTGATTCAGGTTTAGAAGCAGAAGTGGTATCCACTCCCTAAACCGCATGCCTCTGGAAACTATGAACTTGGAGAAACGACTCTAGTTAATCAGATCTTTTATTCATAGAGTCGCTATGACACTCGACGGCAATAAATACTAGATCTCATTATAGTGAAAAAGCAATCCTTTAAGTAGCAGCTCCTTATGTGCAATTATACAACTGTTTATAATTCAGCAACTTGAATCAGGGGATGCTGAAGTAACGGGACAACAGGAGCCAAAGGAACTGATAATTCATATGGAAACAGGGATTCCATCTAATAATAATACTTTTACCTTCACATTCTGTTCATTTTTATGGTTTTACTTTAGAAAATACTGGGCAAGATTTTAGTTATCACACTACTTTATGGTAAAACAACTACGGCATTACCACAAAAAGGAAGCTTCTGTTTACTGTAGTGCAGTTTACCAGGCGCCATGGAGCTAACAACTATTCATACTATAACCCCCACAAGTGTCAGAGAACTGTGCTCTATAGGGTTTTCAATGGCTGATTGTTCAGAAGCAGAGTATCAAACCTTTCTTAAAGCTGCCTCCAGGTAGCCTCAAACTTCTAACCATTTAGTTAGCAAAGGGTTATTGTTATATACTTTCTGAGTAGGAACTTAGCTGACTGCCCAGCTGTTTTTTGAGGTAGTAAACTGTACCGGAGGGGACTCTCTCTCTTTTTCCTATGGAGCAGCTGGTGAGTTCAAACTGTGTGCCTCACGTTGGCAGCTCAGTTCCTTATATATGCATAAACTGTCTGATTTTGTATTTGCATTACCCTTAAACTCCAAGTCAGTTCATAATAGTTTTAACAGACACTTCATAGAGTGGTTGTGAAAATGAAATGAGTCCATATATGGGCTGGTGGAAACTGCTGAACTATATGAAAAGGTGGACACAATCTGGATATTTGTAAATAAGTGCACTTTTTTGAAAGAATGTCCACAACCTTCCATGAGGTCCCTAACCCACTGCCCTCCAGCTGACATGACCCCGTAATGAATTTCCTAGGCTGTAAATCTTACAGCCTAGGAGATGAGGCTGAGTGCCTCATCGTTTTTCCCTACAGCTGGTGGTTAAAAGCCTAACACTTAACCCACTGCATCACCAGAGCCCCTTGAGATCCAAAACCTCAGCACACTTTGGGGGAACGGACTTAAGACTAATAGCCACTATATAGGTAGCTTTGGTAGACAAGTGGCAAGTAATTTCACTGCTGAGCTGAAGGCATACAGTTCAAATCCACAGATGTTTTGTAGGAGTTGATAAGTGCTGTGAATTAAGTATGACTCACAGCAATTCAGTGAACAGATCTGAGCCCTGCCCTATCCTGTGCCATTCTCACAGATCTCTGACACACTTGAGCCCACTGTGGCAGTCAATGTTAATCCACCTGGTTGCAGGTTTTCCCCTTTGGGTAATCTCCTCCCTTGGGATTTACTGCCCCTGAAAGCCCACTTGAAGGGTCAACTTATGAGTCAGTTCCAACTAAAGGGCACATAAAAAAACATGGTTCAATGGTAAGAAGTTCTGCTATCAAGCCAAAGGTATGTAGTTTGAATCCACCAACAGCTTCCCAGAGAAAGATGAGCACTCTGTCTTGGGCTTTATTGCCTCTGAAAAAAACCCCTGGAGAGTCAGCTATGAGACAGTTCCCAAACAACATATAGGCCAGAGCACAACCATTACCTATAATTTCCAAGCCTGAACACCTTTACAGATCCTTTCATACTCATAGCAGCTGGTCTTTCGAACTTTCCATTTGGGACCAAATAATCCCTTGCACACCACTAGGGCTCCTCTGAGATCCATAAAACACCTCATACCCCAAAGAATCCAAATCCACAGCCCTCCAGCCGATTGTGACCGATGGGAACCGCTTATCAGTTTTGGGAAGCTGTAAATGTTTACAACTTTATATCAAAGAGTGGCTGATGGATTTGAACTGCTGACTTCAGTTAGCAGCTCCACCAAGAACCACTAGCCTCTTGGGCTCTGTAATTTCTGAAATTTGAAGAAATCAGGTGTGTGAAAGTAGGGCAAGCTCAGTATTATATGGGAGATTTGGACATGTCCCTTCACAGAGGATCGAGTGTCACCGCCTGCTCCGCGGTGAGAAGCCCACCGCCCTGACCTCTGCAGGACAGGGACTGGGCTGGTGCTGTAGCCACGGGGGGCGGGGGCTCAATGCCGCTTGGAGGGACCTGTCCCCTAACTCCGGACGGCCGCAGCGCCGCACTTGGGGAACACGGCTGAGGCCTAGGCGCCGCACAGGCCGGGGAGGCGAGCTGCGCGCGGCGGGAAGTGAACCCCCGCAGCCGCTTCCCGCGAGGGGCCTCCCGCCCCGCGCTCGGCGGTACTGGGCTGCAGGTCGCCGTCCCCGGGACCTTCCGAGTCCCAGGGGTGCAGCCAGCAGGGAGCCCATGAGCACAGTCATTGAGGCTGGAAAGGGGAGCGCTCTGTCTCCGGGGAATAAAAAAAGAGAAGGAGAGGTTCCCAAAGTCTCAAGAAGCGCGCCAACTTCAACGCAGCAAGTACGCAGAGGGGGCTGGGATCCGAGAAGGCCCAACAAAGAGGCCTTGGAGGGCACAGGCCTGGGGGAACCAAGGGGGTCTCTCCTCTCGCGCGTCTCCTCTGGGAGTGGGGGTCCCGGGGACCCGCGAATCTCCCCCGTGGGTTCCCGGAGGGGCTTCCACGTCACGGAGGGTGTGCCCGGAGCGGAGCAGACGGGAGGGGGAGGAGCCGAGGGGGCTGAATCCGGGCCGCGCCGAGGTGCGGGTCCCCCGGCCCGCTTCCCTCCCCAGTGCCGGGCCCGATTCGCTGCCTCTCACCTGCCTTGTTGGCCCCGGCACCCAGCGTAGGCCTCAGGGACCGGCACCCACCGGCCGCGTGCGGCTCACGACGGTTGTAGCGCCTGTCTCTTTAAATCCGGGTCCTTGAGTTGGCGGCAATGCGCAGGCGCAAAAGCGGAAGGAGAAGTTACGGGGCCGCGTTGGCGGCTCGTCTCCGCCCACAGGACGACCACGTGGGTAGTGGTTAGAGTCGACCGCGGGTGGCCCTACAGGGACGCGGGTTTCAGCGGAGCGCATGGAGGGGACTAAGATGAACCAATGTGGTTGCGCCGCAGAGCACATATTAGCCTGAACTTACGAAGATCCTTCTTCATTTTCTTATTGCTAGAGACCTGAGGCCCTAGTGCGTAAGGAGTTGCCGTGGCAACCCAAAGGAGGGTGATTCAAATCCACCTGCTGCTTCTCGGGAGAAAGGACAGTCTCCTCTCGTGGAGAGGTGGTGGTGTTATGAGTCAATTACGACTCATTAGCGACCCTATGAACAAAAGATATGAACCCTGCTCTATCTTGTGCTATCCTCACACTTCTTGACACACAAGAGCCCATTGAGGCTATCACCCTGTCAATCCACCTGGTTGAGGGTCTTTCTCTCCTTCGCTGACCCTCCACCCTCTACAGCACTACGTCCTTCTCCGAGGAATAGCCGCTTCTAGCAACATGTCCAAAGTACTTGAGGCGGGATGGACAGCCTCTGAAAACCCACATGAGGGCCAGCCAAGGGTTGGTTCCGACTCGAGGGCAATGAGTTGTTAAATTATCTAGTTCAGTTTAGATATCCCGATTGAGAAACTATATTATAATGAGCTTCGAGGAAGGCAAAGATCCCATCACTCAACCTGTGTGTTCATTCCACCTTGTATCTTGTACAGTGCCTAGCATGTAGAAAATATCCAATAAATAATGAATTTAAAAGAGACATAATGTATGTGGAGATAGGGAATTCTTTGAGGAAAGGCAGGGAATATTTCCTTCCACTGTATATAGTATTTTTTGAAAGAAGAAGTAACTTTATTTTAATATACAAAAAGTAACATCACAGTAACTGGTTTACTCAATTGCGTGCTATGCACCTGAGGACAATGACTAAAGATGACAGGAGAAAATCGATGCCTTTGAGTTGTGCTGGAGAAGAGTATCGAACATACCATGGAAAAATTGAAACATACCAAGAGAACAAACAGGTCTTTCCTGGAGAGGGTGAAATCAGGCAGCTCCTGTAAGGTAAGAATTTTGAAACTCCATCTCACATACTTTGGGCGTATTTCCTAGAGGGATCAGTTCTTGGAGAAGGATATCATGCATGGAAGGGTAGAGGAGACAGCTCAGGAAAGGAAGACAATGGATGAGATGGATTACCACAGTAACTGTGGCAGTGGGGGCAGGTGTGCCAGAGAGTGAGATTGGCTCAAGATAGAGCAAGATTCAGAGTTATTTGTTCATAGGGTTGCTGTAAGTTGTAGTCAGCTGGAAGGCACATAACAACAGCTGGTTTAGGCAGTCACACAAACATTTGCCCAGCCATAGACTTGAGATCGTCTCACTACAATGAAAACATCTTCATTTGTGAACTATTAACAATGGAGAAAGAGTTTAGCTAGTGCTTGTGTGTCTGATTCAGGCCATAATCTTTCCAATCCCTTGTTATATATCTGAGAGCTGGACAGTGAATAAGGATGACAGAAGAATTTATGCCTTTAAGCTGTGGTGTTGGAGAAGAGCACAGAACATCCCATGGACGGCCAAAAGAACAGATATGTCTTGGAGAGGGTGCAGCTGGAGTGCGTTTTGGAGGCAAGACTGATGAGGTTTTGCCTCATATACTTTGGGCAAGTTGCCAGGAGGGGCTTTTCCTTGAAGAGAGACATGATTCTGGGAAGGGTGGAGGGTAGGCGAATGAGAGAAAGACCCTCAACCAAGTGGGTTGATAAGGTGATTGCCTCAATGGGCTCTTATGTGTCAGGAAGTGTGAGGATGACACAAGATAGAACAGGGTTCAGACCTTTAGTTTACAGGGTCTTCATGAGTCATACTTGACTTGACGGCACCTATCAACAACAACAACAGTGCTTGTACACATTATGTGTTACTATCAATTCCAGGGTGCACCTTATAGGCAAGGATGGTGACACTTCACATACTTTGGGCATGTTGTTAGAAGGGCCAGTCCTTGGAAAAGGACATCATTCTTGGAAAAATGGAGGGTCAGTGTAAAAGAGGAAGACCTGCAAAAAGATGGATTGACACAGTGATTGCAACAATGGACTCAGGTGTATGAGACATGATGAGGATGGGCCTATATCTTGACAGAATTCAGGTCTGTTGTTCCTAGGATCACTATGACTTGATTGACTAGACAGCACATAACAAGAACAACATCAAGTACAGTTTTATGCTAAATTACCCTGATCAAAACCAACTTTCCCAGTTCTTCATTCTAGATTGCTTTTTTAAAAAAAGAAAAGAAAATATCATCTTTACTTTAGAAACTTTGCTGCTGCCTAGGTACTTACACTTGTAATCAATTGCTAGGTTATGTAAAAAATATGTAATGCTTCACGAATTTGCATGTCATCCTTGTGCAAGGGCCATGCAAATCTTTTCTCTGTAGTTCCAATTTTAGTATATGTGCTGCTGCAGAAGCAAGTACCATTCTAGATTTCTTCATTTACACTAATCTATTTGCAAATCTGCACTCCTTTGACACTTCACTGAGACTTTATTAAAGCTTGAGATCACTTCAGTGCTAGGCACACCCCCAAAATTGTTTTGTGTCATGGTGGCAAGAGTCAAACTGCTGGTGGTGGTATGCTAGTAGGACTTCCAGAGGCTCTGTTAAGTGATGTCAGGTATTGAGGACTCAGCATTACTTCCTGCCCTGAAACAGCCAGTGGTGGCCCAGCAAGTGCCCAAAAACAGCCCACAGCTAGGCTGGTGGCAGTGGTTGCCATCTGTACCATCAGATCTAGCTGCCAGGGTGCGGCAGGTGAGCCAACTGCAGGCAGTGGGGCTTGGGCCAAGGCTGCTGGTGGCTGAGCTGTTTTTGCTGCTGGTCTGCAGGCGGCTTTCCTCCCAAGCACCTGACTGGCCAGAGGGGCCATGTGGCAGGTGCAGCCCCAGTTTCCATGCAGCATTTCAACTAAGTGGCAAATTGGCATCTAGTCATGCAAGACTCTGAGAAGAGATTGTGTAATTTTTAAGTATTATCTCTTGACTGGAACCACACATAGTTTTAGGTGGCCTAGTTGGCACAACTCCTTGGGAGAAAGATGTGGTAATCTGCTTTCCTAAAGATTTCTAGCTTTACAGATACTGTGGGGCAACTCCACTTTGTCATTTAGGGTCTCTTAGCATCAAATGGCAATGGGGTTAATTTTTTTGTTTTGTTTTAGGTAGTTGATATAAACTCGGTGACCCTGGCGGACAGAACGTAACTGCCCCATTGGGTTTTCAAGGCTATGCTCTTTACAAATTGACATGAAAGCCACGAGACTTTTTCTGTTCTCAGTAGTATGCTTAACTGCTGCACCACCATGAACCCTGGGAAAGATTTGAGATGTCAGTTTTTATGAAAGGGCAGCAGTGGCTCAGGGAAGGTAAGAGAACGTGTTGAGAATTTTCGATGGCAAACAGTAGGGTATTGTGAGAGAGGTAAGCAAGGACCATATCCTGGTGGGGATTGGATGCTGTGTGGTAAAGAACTTGACCTGTATTCTACAGGGGAAGAAGCAAAGAAGCATTTTACAGAATAAGAATTACTGTTGAAGCTCAGGAAGGGAGAGACTGCAGCAAGAGGATGAACAGTGATCCACGGGGACGCAAGTAGTCTGAATAAACCAGGATGGAGAGAAGAGGAAGATGTATTTTGAGAAACATTTTTATTTGAAAATGTCTTCTATATAAAATACTCCTTTATCTGAGTATGAAATGAGCATGACTTGAGTGAGCAAGTTGATAATAGACCATCAATGGAAACAAAATGAGAGAGGAGGAGCTGGTATTGGGGTAGGAAGATAAGCTTTTTTTTGGCTATGTTAAGCTTGGTTGATTGAGGCCAATTGTTTGAAGTGGGACAACGCTGCTTTTCTTTCTCTGAAGTGCTGTAGAATGAACAAGGGCTTTGGAACCCGGAAGTTCAAGTCTAACAGGTAGTTCAGAGATCCTGTATATCTCCCTATCATTGCATTTATTACATTGTTTGGAGAATTTCCTTGAATGCAGCTGGTTTTGTTTCTGGATTTTTTTCCCCTTTCTGTAACCATGTGCTGTCCAATGTTCTTGTCACTAGCCACAGGGGACTGTCAAGCACTTGAAAGGCTACTGGTCCAATTTGAGGTTTCCAGTAAGTACAAAACATAATATCTATTTTGAAAACTTGTTACCAAAAGGAGAATGTGAAATATTTCATTAATATTATGTATATTGATAGTGATTAAATACAGAAATGATATTTTTAATATGCTGAGTTAAATCAACTGTATTAACATTAATTACACTTGTTTATTTTTGTTTAAAAATGTGGCTGAATATATGGGATTATATTCATAACGTGCGTTACGTTTCTGTGGATCAGCACTGCCTTAGACTTCAAAGCAGTTTATGGCAGGTGGCACCTGTGTCATCTACGTCTCTTCTCCCTGTGGCTGAGAACAGTGTCTGACATGTAGTAGGAACACAGTAAATATTTATGAATAAGTGACTGAAATGCCTGAGTGAACGGAATGAATGAAATCCTGTAAATGGTAAGATCCCACAGGATGTTCTTTATATTGTTTCTTTGAGGAGATAAACGTGTCTGGTGTAAACTTGCAAAAAGATATCATGCTCTAAATGTTTGTTTTGCCCGACCAGAACCCCAAGGGACCCTCTCTGATTTGGAGATGATCTCTGTGATTCAAGCCCCCTCTGTGAAATGGAACTAGGTGTGAGAACTGGAGGTTACATTTCCTTAGAGAAATGGGAACTGCTACCAAGGACAGTGAGGTAGTGTGGGTATGGCAGGGGGAAAGGGCTTTGAAATCACAGACTTAGTATAGCCGCAGTGTGTTTGCTTTTCTCCTCTGGATCTCAGTGTTCTTGGTGAAATGATGGTCAAATTACCTTGGAG